TTTTTTTCTGTTCATTCATTAATCATTAGTAATATTTTTGGTTTTCCATTTAAAAATTAAAGTAGCAAAAAAAAATCCACTACAACTGCAGGCTAATTATATTTGAAATCGCATTATATTCCAAAGACACACCTGCTAGAGCTGTCAACTGCGAGTCAGCCGATACATGTAGCGTGCGCGCTCTACTAGTCCCCAAATAGGTTTCACCGCCGGAGATATACACTTCCCCTCTCTTCCTTAGTAATTGTCCAAAACATGACATAAATTTATTTAATTTTAATAAGCAATAGCATAAAATCGATGTAAAATTTCCCTGGGAACACGATGTTGCCATTATTTTTTTGCTACTTGCCGTAGTTTACGAGATATTTGCTAATTTTTTACGGTTTTTTGACCTTTTGACCCCTTTCCTGACCACCTAGGTCAAAAATTTTCGGATTCCTGAGGGTCGAAAACATATTTGCGCCCAGGTTTGATCGACAGAGGAAAAAATGGAGGTTCAGCCTTCATTTCAATGGACTATTATTTCGAATAGCGAGGTTGGTAAATTTTGCAGTTGAGGATTATTATTACCTTACAGCGGTTGAATATATCTGCATGTAACAACTCGACTCTGTTTATTTACAACTTAAAAAATAATAAGGTCGACAGACACGTAAAAACGGAATTCGAGAGAAATAGTTGCGTCAGGTATGACCATCCCATGGTCCAAGAGGCTCCCGGCGAGAAGTGGAAGTGTGGAACCATCTACAAAGTTCGGACGAGACATTTAACATTCAGTGCAGCACACTTAACGCCGAAAAAGTGCGTCAGTGTTATACGAGTTTCTGGGGGACACCCGTCCAAATATCAGACATCAACCTCTGACGTCGAAGTAACGGTGACATGTGTAGCAATCGCTAATAAATATGCACATGTGTTCATAACTGAACCCAGATGGGCGAGGTGACACCACCACAGTCATGTGGTTTTTTGTTTTCACGAGATATATTCATGAATAACGAATTGGAGAGAGGAAGGAAAAGAGAAGGCACGGTACGCCTACTGTTTACTGAAACGTTCTGAGAAAGAAATACAGGGCGTTTCGCATAAGAACCGATACAGAGCAGGGTCATATGTGGGGAAACCCAAAATATGGTGATTTATAATTACCAAAGATATACAAGGTGCCCATGTCCAGTTCTGTAGATCACACAGACTGTTATCGATATTTGTACTCCACAATGCGTAGTTTATCGAATTCAAGTTTCAAAGCACAAAAAAGTTGAGGTTACCATGAGGAAATAGATAATAGAGATGCAAAAATGTGACGACGGATCGATTTTAATTTATTATTACGACGGGGCAAAAACGGATGAGGATAATGGAAAGAAGTAATGACTTCGCAGCTATCGGGTTTTTGTGTCGGGGAGGACGGAGATCGAACGCCGGCATTAAGAAACGTTTTTAACCCAGTTTCCAGCCGTTCGAGGTTTGAACCCGATTCGTCATAGCTCGTAATAGAAAACAATACGAGTGCAAACGCTGAGGTTGAGAGTGACTTGGCTTTTGTGCGTTTTGAAGACGCTTAGGTCTGGACGGGGTTTCAAATGTTGCGAAAAGGCAGTGAACTCTATACTACGTACGGTAGTATTAGACCAAGCAAATTAAATTTTTACTCGAAAAAAGTCCTATCCGCGAGATTATTACATTATATACATAATACAAGACATCTCTCATCTCGTGAGTCAAAAATTTTTATTAGCTAACTTTTCTATTTAAACAAATAAGTGAGGAAAACAGTTTTTTCACTTTGCAGGGAAAACCATCTATTTTAGCGAAAAGTGACTCACAGACAGCTTATAGGGAATAAAATTATCTACAAAATGAGACTTGTTAAATTAAAATCGGTTAATAAACAAAAAAGTTATTGCAAAAAAAA